GGGGTTAGGCAGATCATGTGCAGGTACAGAAAAAACCATTAAATAGCTGTTTCTCAATATGTGAGGGTTGGACAATTTCAAGTGCTTAAGAATATATTTCAAAGGGGTATGAGAATTTGCCATTGAGTTTCCCCAAAATAAGGGAAAAACAAGTGTCCCTTTCAATCTCTACTTTGTTTTTATTTCCTTCAAGGGTTCCTTCTCACCTCCTCTGAGGTGACCTGCTCCAGAGCAGGTGGCTGCTAACTGGAGAGTGACCAGAAGATAGGTTGGGTCAGAACAGACACCCTTAATCATGAGTGTCCTTATCTTCTCCAGAAACTCACGCTCCTCACTCTGCCAGGTGTTTTCAAAAGCACAAGCTATAACTGGTTCCAGGTGTAACAGTCATGTTTAAGGAAGGAAATTTTGCTAGCAAAATTAAACCAATAATCAAAAGACCTGAATGACTGCTTTCCAGTTATTTGAAGGAAGGTGGGGATTTAACTCAGCGGCACAAGTATCTGCCTGGCAAGTGCGGGAGGGCGTGAATTCAATCCCAGTACCAAAACAAACAAACAAACAAAAAACAGAAAGCCAATTATTTGAAGGAGATTGAGAGGGGGAACTAGATTACAGAGAAAATTGGAAGTGGCTGGAACACTTTCCAGTCTGCAAAAGTGATCACTTCCTGAGACAGAGGCAAGTAATGGCTTGGAAAATTCTGTGTGCTGTCAATCATCTAGGCAAGCTTCCTTAACATGTTTATGAAGCTTACAGCTTAAAACCTGTACCCATCATTCAGCAACTACAGCTTACACATTAGCAAAAATACTTCCCTTTCCTACACACACACAAATGATGAAAACCAGACCTAGCAGAGAGAGAGCCAGGAGGTTGGGAATCCTCCCTGAAACTGAATGTGTTTTTGGTCCCTTACCTATTGTGCTTGAGGTAATAGCTCCTTCTGGTTTCACCCAGAAGTTGATTCTTCCCACAGGGTCTCAGGTTCAGTTTCATGTACATGGAAGACTTTTACCCAGAACGATTAAGCAATGACATACTTTCATGAGTGTTCTCCTAGTTGAGCAAAATTCTGATGTCTTATCTGACCCAGAGACAATGCATGTTCCTTTATCTAAGGTGATTTTCCTGTTTTCAGTGTTAGCAATTGCAAATTTTCTATGGGCTCAACTTTAAAAAGTTCTTAATTATTGGATAGGAGAGAAAGGTTGAGACAGTTCAGCATTTCCGCCTTTCATTAGAAGAAATATGCCTCTAGAAAGGAAATTACAAAATGACAGGAAACGATCAGAAATGAGATCAAAAAAAGAAAGCTTTTTCTTTTCATGCTCACAGTGAATTATTGAGAAAATCTGCCAACAAATCATCACCCTCGGCCTGGAAAGGTGAGAGTGGGGATCTCAAGAACTAAGACTGCCTCTTCATTAATAAAAGGTCAGACCTGCTAGAAAACTGAGGCAGAACAGAATCGACATTCTCTTTTGGAGCACAGGTGGGGGATCAGGCTAGACTGTCCCAATGAAACCTGTCCCCCAACTCTTAAGAACAGTTTCTGGTCTATTGCCTTTTAACTGACATTTGAGGTACTGTGATTTATTAATAGGCATGTATATTTCCTAAATATAAACTGGATTTCACAAAAGGATCCATCTTACTGCATTTTATAAATTTACATTTTTGTTAGTATCAAAGTCTAGTAGGGAATGCTCTAATATTACTTTTCCTTAACACGGTAATCTAAGATAACAAACCATACTAGTCAAAACAAGTCAAACAGGTCAAGCAAGGAACACCAATAAATTCAGGAACTAGTAAGTCTAAATGCAACATTTACAAAATAGAAATACAAGATCTTGTCTCTAAAATGTCCCATCAAAGAAATATACTCTTCTCATGTTCTCAATTTAAATTTATTTTCCTTTTTAAAAAAAATACAATACAGGAAAAAAAAAAAGACAAGGCATAAAAATTCACTGACAAACAAGGATGACAATTTATGATTAGCAAATCACAATCCAGAATCTATGAAACCAATGTAAACTCCTACCTCACTTTCATAATGGGAGTATCACATGCAAATAAATCTCACACCTTAAAAACTAAAGTGCATAGGTCTAAATGAAAAGCCTGAACTATGTAACTAAAAAGAGAACATACTCATTAGTGAAATAAATCAGATGTGCATTTGTAAACATCGTACTGTCTCTGTAGTGTAAAGACTGCAAGAATAAATAAAATTCAAAATGCATAATAAATATTATGAAAGCAAAAAGGGAAGAAACTGCTCAAAAGGAAAGAACTGGAATTGGGGAAAGAAGAAAAAAGAAGAGGTAAGAATATTTATGTGATAGGAATAGATCTGAGCAACTACTTTTAAGATAACAATGTGCAATATATTAACCAGGGTTAGTGAAAAACAAGAGAACAGAAGAAAATCCTTATGGGATAGGAGTAAGCAGTTTTGGGTCATCACACCAAAAATTATTTAGAACAAACAATGAATGTTATCACATCAAAATTAACAACTTCAAGCCAGGAAGTGGCATACACTCAGGAAGCTGAGGCAAAAGGAACAAAAGTTCAAGGTCAGAAGAGGCCATCGGGTAAGACCTGTATCAAAATAAATGTTTTTAGATGGCTGAGTTACAGGCTCAGAGGTAGAGCAATCCTGGATTCAAACACTAGTATTTTAAAAAATTAACTATATTCTACAAAAGACATTTCTAAGCAAATGAAAGACGAGCTGCTGACAAGGAGGAAAACATCCATCAATCACGCATCTAACAAAAAAATTATATCCACAACATATTTCCTGGTTTTAAAGATGTACTAAATAGTATTATAAAATGTTATTGGTAGGGGAAGTTGAATTATGGATATGCAAGACCTCTGTAGCATTTTTACAACTCCTTTTGATTCTATAGTTACTTAAAAACAAAGATTATTTTTAAACTGCAAGTTGGAAGTTTACTAGAATTACAGTCTCATATCTTTAGCTGGAATCTGAAATATATTCTAATATAATACTAATACAGACGTAATTGATAAAACTGTTCTAGAGAGCAATTTGGCTAAACAAAGGATATGTTAGCCTTTGACCAAGAAATTCAATTTCTAACTTTTCCCAAGAAAATAGAAATATGTACCAAATCTGCATACAGTGATGTATTTTTCTTACTTGTTTGTAATAATGAAAAGCTAAAACACTTCAAACTTGTATATCAATAATGAATCCGGAAAGAAATCTGGAAAACAACCCCATTCACAATAACTTTTTAAAAAAATCTTGGAATTAGCTCAAGAAAGTAAAAGACCTCTAAAATGAAAACTATAGTGTTCTGAGAAAAGGCACTGAAGAAAATGGAAAGGCATCCCCTTCCCAGATAGGCAGAATCGATGTTCCCAAAATGGCCATATTACTAAAAAAATGGTATATAGATTTAATGCAATCCTAATCAAATTAGCAACAGCATTCTTCACCAAACCTGAAAAAATAATCTTAAAATTATATGCAACCAGAAGAGATCTAGAATAGCAAAAGCAATCCTGAGCAACAAGAGCAAAGCAATCCTAAATTTCAAGTTATTGTCCACAGCTACAGTGATTAAAACTAAACCAAAACAGGGGGATGGGGATTTAGCTCACCAGCATAAGCATCTACCTTGCAAGCACGTGGTCGTGAGTTCCATCCCTGGTACCAATTAAAAAAAAAAAAAAAAGCAAAAACAGCAGGGTATTGGCACAAAAACAGGTATGTGGATCAATGGAATAAATACAGATATATAGAAATATCCAGACACATTCTGTGATCTGATCTTCAAAAAAAGGGAACAAAAACACCCAGGAGAAATCATGACTTCTTTAACAAATGGTGTGGGGAAACCTAGTCATTCAAATGCAGAAGGATGAATCCAGAGCCCTACCTCTCATGCTGGACTAAAATAAAATATAAATGCATCAAAGACCTATACAGGAAAACAGAAACACTGAAATCTGCTGGAAAATAAAGTAGATAAGATTCTTAAAGATATTGGTAAGAGCAAAGACTTTCAGAACGTAACCACAAATTGTACAAGAAACAACACCAACAGTCAACAAATGGGATTATATAGTATGCTTAAAACTTCAGCACAGTAAAGGAAACAAAACACAGAATGAAGAGACAACCAACAAAATGGTAAAAAAAAAAAAAAAAAAAAAAAAAACTTGCCAGCTATTCTTCAGATGGAAGACTAATAAAAAAATTTAGATGACCAGAAGTAAAAATCTCAATAAAAAAATAGAAAATTGAAACAGATACTTGTCAAAGGAACTGTAAATGGCCAACAGGTACATGAAAAAGTGGTCAGCATCTTTTGGCATTGAAAAAATTCCAACAAAAAACCCCTCAGATTTCATCTTACTCCCCCCAAAAAACTTCCTATGATCAAGACCTCAAAAAAAATTAACAAATGCTACAAGATTGTGGAGAAAAAGGAAAATTTCTACACTGTTGGCTGGACTGTAAAGTAGTACACCCACTATGAAACCAGTATGGAGTCTTCAAAAAATTAAAAACAGAAATTCTATTTGACCAGCTATCTCTCTTCCAGATATCTTCACAAAAGAATTAAAAGCATCATATTATAGTGACATGTGTATACCCATGTTTGTAACAGTACAATCCACAATAGCTAACCTATGAAAGTGGCCAGCAGACAAACAGACAAAAAGATCTGATACAGGAAATGAAACAATTTTGATAGGAAACAGGGAAAGACTCTGTAGAGGGGGACAGGGATCAGGGTATGGGGAAAGATGAGAGGGTACATAGGGGACGATAAAAGATCAAGGTGTGGTATGAATATATTATACACCAATAAACATACCAATAAAACACACCAATAAAACTTTTAATTAAAAAGTAAAGATTATGAACAAAAACTTAAAAATGGAAAGTAACTGGGATATTAGTATGACACACCCCAGAAGACAGAATACAACACAGCCATAAGAAATTAAGCCATTAGAAGCCATATTTATTGACATGGAAAAATGTTAACAATATACCTCTATATGAAATATGTAGCATATAAAATAGTATATACATCCTAATACCATTTTTGTGGAAAGAATAGCCATATATACAAAAATCATGCATACAAAAATAATAAATGTACATATCAAATGTTTACAATGGTTATCTCTATGGTGGGTTATGTACTCTTCCCAATGTTTCACCTGCCCTGAAAACAGTATTTGTGTTATACCCTTCTTCCTTGGTTACGATTAGTGTGATACACTTCTCTTCACATAGGCTGCTTTAGGTTACTCACCTCCACAGCACACTCCTGATGCAGCTGCTGCTATTCCCATTTAACAAGTAGATTCTACCTGCTTTTTATATAGAGCGTTTATACTATAAAATACACCACAGAATGGATCTGGTTGTAGAAAATTATAGTTTAGAGAATGGGGAAATTTCTATTTTAGAGAAATGCTAAATAGAAAAAAGAAATAAAAAGCAGTCATTAGCTAGCATTTTCACTAGAGGCAGAGTACAAAATAACTCAGGATTCAAAACTGGAGAATTTTGACTCTTAGGTTACCAGCTAACTGACTTTGAGTAAAGAAAACTAGTATTTTTTAATTTAAAAAAACATGGCTAGTAGTTTTATAAAAAGCAAAAAGTAAGATTTTTTAAGAAACGAAAAATGAGATCATAGGTATAAATGATGTTTCCTGTAAGAACTCAAATGCTGCATTAAACAGCAAGGAAAATATTTTTGATGTGGCAGAAAAATTAACTTGCATTTCTTTTTCTGCAACATCAAATTTTTACTGTTTTCTATCACCTGTCACAAGTTTGAAGTCAAAATTGTGAAATTACTTTAATGTTAATAAATGGCCTCTAACTTCTTTAATAGTTAGTGTAGCACATATTTCACATTTGTTGGAAATTAAGTGCTCCAAATATATATTGGTCATCCTGTGGCTCTTAATGATTTGCAATGTTAAATGCTGAAAAGTAACATTTCATGTCATAAAATACATCATCACGTAAAGCTATTAGATTCTTATTAAAAATGCCAAGTAAGAATATTGGATCTGGATAATAGATATTTTAAAGATAAAACATAGGGGAAAAGAATAATATTTGCCTATGCTCTAGGACCCCCAAACTGCCTCCTAATTTTTGCTCTCTCCTGTAGGAAGAAAACTGCAGACACATCTGTGACCAATTGGTAGCCTTTAAAAACGACTTGCAATTAAACTGGAAATGAAATAGTTCATGACTTCTTATATCCTGAAGGTTAATTTATTACCTAGAGGCCTAAAAGTAACTTGCAGATGAAACACAAAATACTAGTAAAAAGGAAGATTTGCTAAGAGTGGTGAAAAAAAGGATTTCTTTGTTTTTCCAATCAAGAGATGTGTTCCTCTTCTTTTTGAAATCACAAGAAAGGTACTTCCAGGTTGTTATAGGAGACCTGAACATTACGTGAACACATTTCAGGGGTGGAGAAAGCCTACTGATATTCCATGTTCACTGTTTTACTTATATGAATTAAACAAAAAAGAGACTAGAAAATCACTTTGTGGTATTTCATAATCATCAATTTGTGACAGAAACTGAGGCATAACACTTAGGCTAACAAATATAGTAGATGAATTACCAGGTCAGCACATAACCGCAGATGGGTACTCCTGGATTTCACTTCATCTATTACTCAATGATGAACAGTATAAAATGAAAAGTGACATACTTATGAACCAAAATTGCATGAAAAAACTCTCCAAAATCAATCTTCAATGAGCTCCTATTCCAATAAGCCATAAAGAGCAATAAAAGGCAATATTCATTTAGGACATGAGAATGAATCTCTATGACAAGAAATCGGGTATTTATTTTCCTCAGGAGACATTTCTTCCCCACCTAACAAAGGCACTTGACATGTACTGAAATGGACAGTTAATTCAGGCACTGCCCTGGGCAACTGCTCCTTTCCTAAAATCAGATGAAACAGTGATTAAGTTCAAACTAGTTCTCCTAAATAAGCTCACAACACACACGAATATATCATAACTTATTTTTGGCAGACGATAAAAGCAAAGAAGAAAAGATAATGCTGGTGTCCACGATGATCTAGCTGAGTGGAGCAGTCAGGGATACGCTCTCTGTACAACATATCCTTGATGACTGCGGAATGTAATTTTATAGGCAGAGTAATCTTTCGTGCAGTTTCAAGTATTAATGTTCACTCCTCTTCTTATCCTTTTTTACTTTTTTGTTCTTTCCCAAGCCTTTAGATGATTCCTCCTGAAAAACAAAAACAAAAAACACAAATCAACACAGTATCTCCCAATTCTATTAGGACAAAAGTGTGTATCTAACCACACACTCCATATATAATGGTGCAATTGCTTTTATAAGTGTCTTAAATAGCACTCTCACAATCCACAATAACATTTTCAAGATAATAAGGATAATTAAGAAAAATACTTATCTAGAAAAATTATGCTTGAACAATTTCAGTATTATTTAATCCATTTCTATTTCTCAAGGCAATAAAGTTTAAATAAAGTAGACATAAACATGCTTCAAACATAAATTCAAAGTATAAATGAAGTAAGCATCTAAATGCATGCTAGGGAAAGGGTAAATGTTTTGGCACTAATAGCAGAAAATTCTAGACTTCTGTAGACTTTTAAAGAGCAGCTGTTGGCTGGAGATTTAGCTCAGTGGCATAAGTGCCTGCTTGGCAAGTGTGAGGTCATGAGTTCGATCCCCGGTACAAATAAAAATTTAAAAAATAAAAAGGACAACTGTCCAGTATAACATCAACTATAATCTCTCTGAGCCGCATTGTAGGGGATACAATCTAGTTGGTCTTTACAGGATTTTTTACATAAACTCTCTAAACCTGTGACAGCAGGATACAAAGAGATGAAGCAATCTAACCAAGGTCACATGCCTGTCCAGTCAAAGTTTTGACCAAAGCCTGAGCTTCAAGCTTCCTAATCCAAAGGTTTGACTCATGTACTACACAAACACACTGATTCAGTTTTAATTTTCTTTTTATAATTTCACAGGCAGTGATAAGAAAACTCTCAACATAGTATCAACAGTCACTTACAGGTGAACTGATATAGTTCTTCTCCACTAGTATGTTTCTGGCACAGTTGTTGATATGTTTGAAGCGATCTGGTCCTAGCAGAATCCCGCCATACCAGCGTGACACTACCACCATGACATTCCTTACATTCAAAATCTGTTATTTTTCAGAAGCATAAATAAAATACAAAAAACATGTATAAATATAAGTTGTAAAGGAGAATGAAGTAACCCATACACAAAATTGCACATAAAATTTCCCAGTAGACTTTAGTACAACCTTATGTGTATGCACTGAGTGAGATTACTAAAAATTCAGGGGGGAAAATACTAGAGTAGGAGGGAATTTGGAAACCAACACTGTGTCCTGGTACCCTCAGATTCCACTTTATGGCAAGCTGGTAGAATGAAAGCAAGACATGCAGGAGGGTTCTAGTTCTTGGTGACTTTGACCAGAACTCAGTTTAAGCACTCTTTTGCCACTGGGCCAAACAACAATAACAAAAAATCTGCTTCTGAATAAACTTCTAGGAGAAAATAGGGTCTTCACGAGTAATCGCTGGTGCTTACCAATAAGGTCTTCATGAGTCTGACATTTACCAAAGGCTGCCTTTAAAATGAAGGCCACCAGTATGTAGGCCTGACCTACATTTAGAGTTCCTATCCAAGGAAAGTTCTAGTGAAAAAACAAAGCTCCACATAAAATAGCAGAAGAAACCATAGTCACTACCTTAGGGTAAAAATAATCCATTCTTAAAATTAATAGACAATCAATGATCACCAGACAGATGAAGAAAATCCAGCAGCATGAAAGAGAAAGGACAAGATAAACTAAAATGGACCAGGAAAAATTTAAGGTGAACCATCTGAAAAAAGAAACTGCTTAATATACACAAGGAACTCTGGAAGATATTGTACCCAAAAAACCAGAATAGGATTCTATGAAAAAGAAAAATGAAGAACAATTTTTTATAACTCCTGAAAATTAAACACATGATTGTTAAAACATATTCAAAAGTTCTATATAAATTTTAGAAGACAATCAAGAAAATGCATCAGAACATAAACACAAGACAGACAATTTATTTGTAAAAATTGTGGCTCTGTCCAGAAGTTCTAATATTCAACCAACAGAAGTTCCACAAAGACAGAACAAAAAAGAAAAAAGAGAAAGAGGAGGAAATGGTTAAAAAAAAAACCAGAAATTAGAAAGAAAGAGAAGTTTTCCCAAAGTTGAAGCCAATCTTCAACTGTCCATGTCTTGAAAACTTAAGCATGTTATTAACAATTTGCTTTCTACTTCATAACCAGAGGTTAAAATTTCTACTCAATGTTTAAAAATTACCTATTAACTAAATTAAATAATATAATGTTATATTGTTTAGCTGATGCACTGATTTCTAAGTGGAGCTCTGCTTTGTTGAGAAATTTTATGGCTCATGTAGAAGATCCAGTGCTGACCCGCACCTACCTCCATGAGATGGAGGAGACGTCCGCCAGCCGCTGTTTCCCCATCATCCTCACAGTCCTGCAGGAAGGTCTGTTTACCCTCACAATAGATCCTAAAAACACACATGTAATGGGGTTACGCCGCGAGACTTAGGTATGAAGGTTCTCAGTCAGTACTTGTGCAATCCATTTGATTACTTCCGAAATCAGTGCTCTTGAAAAAATTTCTTGAACTCTATGAGCTGTACTTTCATGTATGATTTGTTATCCAGTATGTTTCCTCTTTTTATATTTTAAAAAGCTAGGAATCAAAGTTGTGTCCTTTATACCACTTGAAATGCTGTTTTCTCCTTTACTGCATAGCTGATATTTACTTTACTTTATTTAATCTTGAAGCTATGAAGCAATAAAAAGCAGTCATTGGATAGTACTTGTTGGGAAAATATTATCTATGAGCATTTTAATAACAAATGCTATGAAATGATATAAAAAGAAATACATGGTGTACCCATATTTTCAAAGAGCCTAAGATCTGGGTGATAAATAAAATCAAAATATATTATACACATCAAACTCCACCCCATCAAAAAAAATGTGAAACTGGGTGGGGGGGGAGGAAAGTGGACAAAGTGGTTAGGGAAGGCAACAATGACTAAAGTGTATTATGTGTACATACAAAGTCTGCCAAAAGGAAATTCATTCATCAGTGTAACAAATATGTACAAATAAAGACATTTAAAAAGCCTCAGGTCCAGTGAAAGAAACAAAAATCACATAAACATGGTGGACACTACAATAAATTATTCCATTTTACTTTTTTCTCATCTTACTTTAGCCATCAAGCATTTCTCTATTTTCCTCATCTGAATAAAAATTTATTTCTTTTTAAAATGTCTTGTAGGTAGACTGAGGGCAGCAAACATGCAGTATCAAGACACGGCATCAGTGGACATAAAGAGAGATCTTCAGGATCTCATAGACAAGCTCAAAAGTGAAATATTTAATCAAGTAAAGCAAGATATAAGTAGATAATAAAAGAAATGCTAAGCACATCTCAAGAAGACACAGACAAAAGAATGGAAAAACACAAAAAAAGGAGAGAAACATTTGATGAAGAATATAAAGAAAACCTAGAATACATGAAACAGGTTCAAAGAGATTACCAGGAAATAAAAACTCCATTGAAAGCTGGCAAAACTGCTTGAAAGAAACTAAGGATAGATTATTCAAACTGGAGGACAGATTTGCAATGTGTAATCATGAAAGGAAAAATCTCTTAAAAATAACAAGGAAACAGGCAGTAACAATACTAGAAGACAACAAGAGGATCTATAACTCAATAATGTGAATGAAGAAGCAGGAGTAAAACAAAGGAAATGCAAAGGCTATTCACAGAAATAATTAAGGAAAATTTCCCAAGTATAGGCAAAAGAATCTAACAAACCAATATCGACAGAATTTATTCAAATCTGTTATGATTGATAGTATCAAGTTGAGAGTATAAGCAACTACACCGAAGATGACAAGATTCACTACAATAGCCATTCTGGCTTATTACCTGCTTTTGAAGTTTTATACTATCTGCAATATATTGTTTTTATTAATATTGTTATATACTGTTATATTCAATTATACAATGCCTGATGAAATAGACAATTCTATTGAAGATAACAAGAGACAACACATTAACCATTGTAGAACACTTTGTACTGTGGTTTTATATTTTTTCATTTCATGTGTTTATAGGAATATGTTTTGTTTTATCTTGCTTTTTTTTGTTTCTCCCTTTAATATAGAAAGGATAGAAATACATGTAGAGGGGATTTAGCTCAGCGGCATAAGCGCCTGCCTTGCAAGTAGGCAGTCGTGAGTTCGATCCCTGGTACTGATAAAAAAGAAAAAGACCAAAAAAGAAAAGAAAAGAAAAGAAATACATGTAGAGAATCATGAATGCGTAGAACCTATAAACAGTTTATGAGAACTGATCTTACAACACATGACGAAATGAACAAATACTCTGAAGAAAAAGCGATACTACAGTACCCAGTGCTGATCCTGTAGTGTCATGATGTGAAATTCAGCAATACTATTATTCTTTGTTCAGAGTGATTTTAGCCTGATTTGGTTTGTTTAACCTTAACATAAATGAAGATATGGATAAGTGCATGTATGTTTAAGTGTATAGGATTGTTAATCATATTGCAAGTTTTTGTTGCATAGTTGAACAAAACTGCTTGCAGTCTCGCTGTTTGAATGTCTACTTTGTATTCTTCACTTTTGTAACTTGAACAACTATTTGTAAGTGGACCATATGTAATTATCAACTAGCAATTTCTTACTGTTTATATTTTCTTTGAAATTATGCATTATTTCTACCCTTTTTCTGTTTTATTCTTTCTCTAAATAAAAAAAAAGTCTCTTAGGTAATCAGCATTAGAGGTAAATCATAGAACTTTTACCCATTTATGATATCTGGAAAGTTGGTATTCAGAATAATGATGCAGAGCAACACTGAGGTAAAATAAATTTGGTGAGTGAAAGGCCAGATCTCTCCCACCAGTTAAGGCACACCATCTACTGGATTGCTTGAGCTCCTACAATAGTATCATGCAAATCAGCTGAAAATTTGTGCTGGGCTTGGCAGCACATACACACACTAACAACTGGCACAATACAGAGAAGATTAGCATGGCCTCTGCACCAGGTGTCACAAGTTTAAGTATCAGATGATTTCTCATATGAAAAACCCAAACTTGTAAATAAAGAGCAATATAAGAGATAATAGGAAGTAGGGAGACCTCTTTCAAATAGAAAGGGGAACAAAACACAGAGGAAACAGGGAGGGAAAGAGGGGAAAAGAGGTTTAAAGAGAGAATTGAAGCCAGGCATAGTGGTGAACGTCTGTAATGCCAGCACTTGGGAGGCTGAGACAGGAGGATCTGTGCAAGTTTGAGCCAGCCTGGGCTACAAAGTGAGCTCTAGGCCAGCCTGAACTGCATAGTGAGATCCTGTCTCAAAAAGGAAAAGGGAGAGAGAGAAAGAGTGAGTTGAAGAAAAAATGGAATTACTGCTTCTGCAAAGAAGGGAAACAAAAGTAGAAGTGAGTATGGAGGGATGAAAAAGGAATTGAGATGTGTTAGGTACATGTACAAACTCCCCACACAATAAATGTAATCATTATGTACTGCAAACATGTGTACTAGTAAAAAAGAAATATTTTAAAGAGCTGAAAACTATGTAAACTATAAGCCTAAAATCACTCATCTATAGACCTCAATCATTATGTTAATTATATTTTAGCTGTTACATTTATTAATTCAATTTTTCACCATCTTTACATCCATTTACTCATTTATTCACGTGAACACCTACTATGAGCAAGCTCTATAATCATTCAGTTGACTTCACTTAAGAAAAAGTCCTATTAATACAATTCTACATGACAAATTTAAGGCAAACACAAAGAATTGGTTTAGATTAGGGTTGTAATTATAATCTAACACCATACATTTAAGGAACAATGAAGAAATAGTGTTAAATTAAGAAAATAAAATTGAACCCACAGAAATTTTCACTAACCTTTCCCTCACACTCCAGGAAGCATCCAAGGGCAGTGTGTACCAGTAGCCTGAAAAGTACCCACCAATCCCAAGCAAGAACACAGCCCAGTACCAGAAAGCAACCTTAGGAAGACTCTAAGCATTCAAAATGCGTAACTCAGAGTCTATGCTCCCAACAAAGCTCACTTATTTTATCCTGGTGAGGTCCCACAAACCCCCACTTTGTGCCTTTGTGGGCTTACTGATACACAGTTCTGAGAAGCTCAGTTCTTTTGTGCCTAAGCATTAATTACATAGAAGGGGGATCACTAGTTCAGTCACGATGACAACACCTTTGAGAAACAACAGCTGATGGCTTAATAAGATGGGCAGAAAAGAAAGACTATAAAAATACTTGGAAGAACTGCACTGAAAGCCCAAATCTGGGGCTCAAAACTGACTAATTAGCATATTGTTTGGCTTTTCTTGCTGATTATTTAGTCAAAATTACGCACAAGATTATTACAGTTGTAACCAACTAAGCACCTAAGACTGAAATAAAGAGATAAGTGACACTATATTATCAAATTCAGATGTTAGTTAATGATTGCAAGATCATTAAAAAGCTTACCTTTCTTCAGTGGTAGAACTGCTGAAATAGGAATTTTTATAAACTACTGACATAGAATATGTACTCAATAAACATGGAGAATCAAAGAATATGACAATTATTATTTTTATAGCACATCTCCATCATCGAGGGCATCTAATCCCTCATTTTTTACCAATGACCCTGACTCACTGACAATACATTAAAATTCCACTCAACACTGTTAAGAGAATTAAGTAAGTAGTTTTTATGTATACTTGACACTTAAGAATATTTAAAAAATTCACCTATCCAAAATGATTTTTTATTTAAAATTGAATTTTCAAATAGCCTAGATTTTACAAATAGTCCAACTCTCCATTTTAAATTCACACCAAGTTCCTCTTATCTGCATTCTGTTTAATGTTAGGCTTACCTATGTTCTTAAGTCTCATTATTTTGCATTTTTTTTAAAAATGCCCTTCTTTTACAAATCAGCAAAGACTAACATAAAGAATTTAATATTCCAAACTACAAGTACTCTAAATTCACTGCTGATGGGAAAACAAATTGTTTTTAAAAACTTCTTTGGAAAAATTTGGCAATATATATCAAGAATTTCAAAAATGCTCAAAATTTTTGATATCATAACTTTTCTTTCTTTTATTCTATTTGCATTTCATTTCAAAAAAGAAACTGAAGCAAATAGATCGTAGCCGGCAGTAATAATCCAAAACTGTGGAGCCCTCAACAAATAGATACCCATTAAAATGTACTTGACAAGTACCTTTGGGAAAACACTTTTGTTAAGTTGAGAAAATAGATGGGTATCCATTCTCACAAGTTGAGATTAAAAAAAAAGAAAGAAAGAAAAAGAAAAAGAAAATAGAAGGGTACAGGGTAACGCATTGAAAAAAATAAAATTTCCTTAGAAAAGACAAAAAATACACCAAAATATTATGTTACATTTAATACAGAAAATGTTCAATTTCCTTTTCAATTCTTTTTTTTTTCTGCATTTTCCAAATATTCTGTTGCTGTTACAAAGGAAAAACATGTACCTCATTTTTAAAATTTACACATTTCTCAACCCATGTTTCAAACTGCATATTCCAAAACATGTGGTAATCACTTACCTATAGGCATATATGTTGTGAGTAGCACTAGCTATTTTCTTATTCTCATACAACTTGGCAAGAACCATTTTCACCTTAAAAACAGCAGTAATATAAATAAGCTAGTTACGCTTTTTATTTCCAGTTAACAGATGCTAAAAAAAAATCTTAAAGCATATTGGTATAAACAGTCATTTAAAGGGTCTATACACTCTGAAAGAGTATTTCTAAAATTTTCTCCTCATTTTAGGAGCACACAAAGGTGCTTTCAATTGGTACAAAAGTCTCAGGCGTGATGGTGCACATCTATAATTCCAGTGCATTTAGGAGGCTGAGGCAGGAGGATCATTGAGTTCAAGACCCCTATGGGCTACATAGTGAGTTTAAGGACAGCCTAAACTACATAGTAAAAACTTGTCTCAAAAAAAGCTGGTATAAAAATGACCCTACTTTTACTGAAATGTGTTGCTCGTACATAGAATTTGAAATGTAAATGTAAGAATTTCTGAAAATTAACTCTGAAATCTACCAAATGTATATATATTCAATGCAGTAGCTTCACACTAATGATATGTCTCAAATGCTGTATAACCAAAACTTTCTAGGAAAGTTAAGCAGAAAGCATCAAGGTAAAGGAGGTCAGAGGGCTGGGAAAAGAAAGAAACCAACCCCTTCTTGTGAGCCAGTGGCAGGCCTGTGGGCCAAGAGGAGGAACAAGAAGCCAACCCCTTCCTGTGAGGCAGCTGACGCGCAGGTTGGGAGACTTTAAGAAGAGTCCTCCACACCCATAAGCAACTGGCTGATCCAGAGAAACACAGGCTGAGATGATAATTACTGAAGTAAAAAAGGCAATTGAACACTTACAGTGTTTAATAGTGTCTGACTTTGCAGGCCTAAAGCCAATATTCTGAGCATCTATTTAGAGGCTAGCAATATATAGTACAGCAACTACAGGGGATTTCCTTCTGAAGATGGTAGCCACTGTTCATTCCCTATTAACTTGTTATAAAGTCTTGTAATGTCTTCACTATTTTGTTTGATTTGGTTTTATTGTGTTTTGTTTTGTTTTGTTTTGTTTTGTTTTGTTTTGTTTTATTATATCTGATGGCATGGGCAGCTATTTCAAAGATACCAAGATATATTATGGTAGCCATTGTTGATTTCCTATTATCTTGTTTTGAAGTCCTGTATCACTTTCACTGTTTTGTTTTGATTGGCTTTATTCTCTTTTATTTTGTTTGGTTTTATTCTCTTTAAGATAAAATTTTAAAAATTAAAAGAAAATAGGTTACAGGAGCCAGGTCTTATAAAATTAAGTGTCAGTTATGAATACAAAGGAAAGGCGGAGCAAGGGGCACAAAGAAGCAATTCCACTCAAAGGAAACAGCATGTAAAAATGCAGGGATATGGTGACTAGACTTAGCAAATACGAATAAAGGACATAGGGGCTGGGAATTTAGCTCAGCGGCATAAGCACATGCCTTGCAAGCAGGCGGTCGTGAATTCGATCCCTGGTACAGATAAAAAGTTAAAAAAAAAATAAAAGAGCAAAGAATAAAGGACATACAGACCAATTTGAAGTTTAGATAAACCAACAGGTATGCATCACTATAAGTAAACACAAATATAAAATGAATACATAAAAATAGATATAGACATGTCTGGTGCAAAAGTTTATCTGAAATTTGAATTTTACTAGCTATCGTGTATTTGGCAACTTATTAGGGATGATAAAAGGGAAAGGTTCAGGTAGTTTTAGGGCGCTTTAACCTATGAGTGAGACGACAGAAGATGTGCCAGGAATGAGAAGCTAGGACTGTATCACAAACACCATGTGTCCCTAAAGTTTACTTCACAGACAGTGGAAATAAACAGAATATATGTGTGAAGGACAATTGGAGGGGAGTAGACAGAAATGTGGTCAGATTTTCAGAAAGGGTTATAACTGGCAAGGAGAACAGAAGAAATACTGGCACGAGAAAAACTGAGCTGGAATCCAAGAGACCAATTCGGATTCACAAATTGTACAGCCTTGTGTTTATCATTTTAACCTTTCAGGTTCTCAGATTCCTGATCAATAAAGTAAACAATGGCCTCTGAGATTTATTTCACTGCTTGCATAGTCTAAATGACTGTGCTCAACACAAAACAGAAAGAGAATTAAGGATAAACAGATTCAAAACAGAACATCTAAGAAGGACCTTAGCAAATGAACAAGGGCCTGGGATGAGCTCAAATGCCAGGAAGACCAGACCCCAGCACGAAACACTGCGGTTCTGAAGAGTCTATGTAGAGAAGAACTTCTTCTCCCAGAGACTAAGAATAAACACCCACTACAAAGTACTATATTCCTTATGGTCAGGGCTTTGAAAGCGCAGAGGGATAACAGTATTGCTCAGCTCTGTAGTGGAGGGCTTGCCTCACACGTGTAAGGCCCTGGGTTTGATCCCTAGCACTACAAAGGAAAGAAAAAAGGTTTAGAGGGGACCATGGCAACAGAGAACAAGACACTAATCCCTAAAACCTGTGGTAAATAATGAGCTTTTCAAAAACTATTATTTGACTTTATATATAGAAATGTAACTGCCTCACGAATCAATAAAGTTGAGCCTGGGTTAGATTACTGAAAGAAGAAAGAAGAAAGGCAAAGACCTAGGAATAATTTCTCATGTACTCCAATCACATCCTTCGGTTGGAATAAGCCTGGTCACAAAAGCCAGGAAGCACTTGTTCTGTACTGTTTTGTTCAACTTAATTATACCTAATGATATAGGCAATTCTTTTTAAGGAAGCAAGTGACATTATGGTAACCATTGTTGATAACCTTGTACTCTGCTTTTACATCACGTACTAATGTCTATCCCTGGTTTTGACTGACAGCTTTGTTTTGTCATATTTCATTTTGTTTTCTTCCAAAAGGAGAGTAATAAGAACTGTGGGAGTAATAAAACCCAAAATGTGTAAATTTTGTTGTAAAAAAGAGGAAAAAAAAAGTGCTCTAAAGGATACAACTGCAAGTGTGTTTAGGTGTGTTAGGATAGCTGACCATATTACGGAGTTTTTGTTGGATCACTGAACACAACTGTTTGCAGTCTCACTGGTTGAATGTCCACTTTGTATGCTTTGATCCTGTGACTTGAGCAACTGTTTCTAAGATGACAATGTGTAATCTATTAACTGTTTTTTTTTTTTTTGTAGTCCTGTATTACTGTACCCTTACACTGTTTTGTCTTGTTTTGTTTTTTCTTTTTTTTTTCCTTTTAAATTAAAAAAAAAAAAAAGCCAGGAAGCAGAAGTAAAGAGCAATTCAGGCAGGCAAGACCCAGCTGGCTCACACATCTGTCCACTGTGCTCTCTGATGGGCAGGGACAAAATGGACTTAGTTTCATACAACTTCCACATGACAAACAAATAATTTTCTTTTGCCAGCTATTAAGTATTACAGGCTCCTACAATAGCATGAGTTCTTAAAGATGCACTGAACAGCCAAGCCCCAACCAGAGTTTAGATATGATTTTGAAAGTAGTGACACAAACAATGTATCTTTCATGATTCACAATAACCTGGAAGTTTACTTGATTAGTTATTTTTTTTTTCAATAAAGGAAACTGAACGCAGGGCCTCTGTACTGAATTACAGTCTCAACCTATTTTTATTTTTTATTTTGCGATAGCATCTTTTGCTAAAATCACTCAATGGATCAGGTTGGACTTGAACTTGTAAACTTCCTGCCTCAGAATCCCACAGGGGAGGCTTGCTACGATTACGAGAGGATGTCGCTACACCCATCTGATTTTTAATTTATAGGAATATTTAACCTAAGAGTATAAATTAAAGTATTAATACAAAATCATTTATTTGAATCACTTTAGTAAAACGGTAAGCTAGACACAGTAACTTTACCTGTTTAGGACAAACTACTGGAGCCAAGTGTGCCTGAAAAGTACTTCTTCGGTCTGTAATAGGAATACCATGATCAATTGGAGGTAATTCTTCTATTTCTACAAATTTAAAGAATTAATTTATTTTTAAAAAAATCTTGCAGTCAACTACTGAAAACCTGGCAAGGAGGGAAGGGAACTTGGAAACAAATGTAAATTAAATGGCAAATTTAAACCAAAACAGTTATTAACAGCTGTCTATCTTATTTTATAAAAATATCTTCTATTTTGTAAAAATACGAAGTTTATAATTTTCACCTGCCAAAGTCCCTCAGTGAAAGCAGCAGGTTTGGGACTCAAATCCTGGCCTGTTACAGAAGTTTAAATTGGTAGAGTGTCTAATACAATATTTACTTTTTAGAAGTGTAAGGGGTCTTGAGAACAAAGATTGACAGCTGTTAACATTCCACAGCTTACATACCGATTATGCTGTTGACAGACTCTGGGTTGGGAAATCTATGACTTTAAATTGTATGATTATAATACCTTTTTTTTTTTTTTTTTTTTGTCTTTTTCGTTTTTACCGGTACCAGGGGCCAACTCACGACTGCCTGCTTGCAAGGCAGGCACTTATGCCACTGAGCTAAATCCCCAGCCCCAATATAATACCTTCTAATGAAACTATCCCTGCTACAGGTAATAGATGTATCAGTACTATAGCCAACTGATACTCCATTAAAAGTCTCATAATTTCTGGTTAGTTTGCATCTTCAATAACCTTAAGAATCACCAAGCAGCCCTGAACTCTGATGAGAAACATAATCATTCTGGCTGGTGCGACTTGTCTCACCAGAAAGGAAAGCTATTCAAGACAAGAAGCCAGGTTTCTGCAGAATGCTGGAACCTCCTCTGCTCCTTCCCTCTTCTCAAGCTGGTTCTGATTACTGAACTAACACAGTAATCAGTCAAACACAGTATGCAGGTCAAGGTGAACATAGACCGACTGTGCTATTTATTACACCTGATTTGCACCCCTTTTCTTTAGTTGGTGGATCTTATTTCCCAAAAGCCTGTAAAGCTAACAAATACGTAAATGACTGAAATATAGCTACTCAGGGTGAAGCACAAGTAGGAGGCCTGGATCTTCTCTCCAACCCTTCCATCGCCCCTTCAGCTCCTTTCACTAGACCAGGAGTCCCACTCAAAATCCTCCCCTTTATCAGAAGACTGTTTAAAAGCTGCTGCAAAATGGCACAGACAATTCCTCACCTGAATACGTGAACATACATTTCTACAGAAACACAGCTGATGTCATCACATCGACCTATTTATAAGATAAATGCTACTACAGAATAAATTTGCTGAAATGAAAACTAAACTCTAAAAGACATCAGCTTTCACTCCCGCAGCTGCAATCTCAGAGCTCTTTTACAGTAACACTGTATTTGTATGTGTGAGCACAGACTGAAATTTAACCCTGAGACATTGGGATGTAGTTGAGGATATCAAAATAGAAATAAAAAACAGAATATGAACTGAAAACATTAGCAACCTATCGTAGTTTCAGTTTCTACCATCATTAAATCAAAACTCTAGAAAGTGTAAAAATAAATAAATAAATTTCTGCTTTTAATTGAGAATTTGGATAGACCTGGAAAATATCCAAATAGATAAAAGACAGAGAACATAATGAATCTGATTTACTTGAAAACTAGTAACTACTTGCTAAGTTTCAGAGTTTACTAAACTTCTATACCATCCCAAATACTATAGATTCACTCCTCAAAAGAAACTAGTTAGTAACATTATACCTGGTTGATTTTCACCAAAGTCATAATCAAGTGCTCTATATAGGTTCTCTGGGTCATAGTCTAAAAAGAGGTCATCTTCACATTCAATGTCTTCCTCTTCAGTTTTCTTCTCTACGACTGGGCCTATGTGGACATGAGACATTATAAGAGATCTATAAAACAAGTAAGAAACTGCACTGGAATGGTTAAGTCTTGATCACTAAACACCACTCTTCCACAGAAGAAACCAGAATTCCTCTTCCTCACCATAGAATTCTAATGAAAAAAATGAAGAAGATTGGAGAATCACCATTAAGCAAACACCACCAGACTAAATGTGAGATGTGATCACAAAACACACAGTTTAATTTTTTTAAATATGACACTAAAAGACCCATCACCATTAATGCCCTTCAAAATACTCCCCCTCATTTTGAACACACTTATCCCACTGTTGTCACTTTTCTGAAGCAGTTCTGGAAATTCTCATTCAAGAATGTCTTTAAGTGCACTATTGTGACAGCCTCAATGCCTCAAACTGATACATTTGTTTTTCACAATCATTTTCACTCTTAAAATGGAGCCAGAAGTCATATGTACTAGATCATGTCAATAAGGTGGATGAGGACACGTCGTAATGCTTCTGTGACCCCCTTTCCACTGGACAGAACTCGGCAGCAGCATTTACCATACTTTTTATCACACCACATGAAAACATGAACGGGAACTTCCAGAACTGCTTCAGTCAGTGCCAGGAACAATGGAGTAAGTGTGCTCAAAGTGAGTACTATTTGTGACTGACTGGCAATGTGCCTTTTATTGTAATAAAATTTTAAAATTTAAAAGTACACACCATATTTTCTGATCAGCCCTTGTTTTGTTCACAAGATCCATGGAAGGGTAAAATTACTAAATGGGCCAAAGTTTAAAGTGGAACAGGAATCTCAGCGCAGGCTCAGAGTATAGGGAGCGGACAGTAAGTGTGGTGGTAATTTTACCCATCTAGGCCATCCAACCTACACCGTACCCAGATAATGGCCATGGGACCCATATTTACTAGTGTTTAATTGGCTTAACACTACTCTAGATGTTTCTGTGAACATATTTTTAGATGAGGTTAACATTTAAATCAACTGATTTTCAATAAAACATTTTGGCCTTCATTATTACTCATTATATGAGTAATCACCTCAGCTGATCAGCAAAGGCCTGAATTGTAGAAGATTGACCTCCTTGGAGGAAGAAGGCATTATTTTCTCAGCAGACGATCTTTGGGCTCAGAATGCAATGTACTCTTCCTCGGATATCCAGCCTGCTGGCCTTCCCTGCAGATCCTGGACTTGTCAGCCTCCACAACTGTGGAAGTCAATTCCTTAACATAAATCTCTGCCTGTACACAGAAACACACAGCCCTAATGATTCCGTTTCTCTGGGAAACCCCAACATAGTAACTTCACAGTGGAGACTTTTGACCGATATTACCTTAATCAAAGGACCAAGGAAAACATCACCAACAATAAAGTATATGATATGATCTTGATAAGATGCACTGTGAATGACATGATATCATTTTTGTGGCATTCATGCCATAAATGGATAATTTCACTCCAGTTGTTAGAAAACACAGGACAAAGCCAAACTTGAGAGGTAATCAACAAAACAAATCATCAGTACTTTTCCGAGGTACCTAAGTTATAAAGGTTAACGAGGACAAGGAACTGATTATAGACTAGAAGGAAAGGCTTGGTGGTGCAGCCCTGTAATCCCAGCACTCAGAGGCTGCGGCAGGATCATGGCACATTTGAACCCAGCCTGAGCAACTTAGAAACTCAGTGAGAGCCTGTCTCAAAATAAAAAACGGGCTGAGGATACAGCTCAGTGAGAAGGCCTTGCGTTCAGTCTCTAGCACTGGACAAAGAGGGAGGGTGGCAGGCTGGGACAGAGAAAGAGAGAAACTAAATGGAATGTAGAACCCTAAATAGAGTCCTTTAGCTACAAAAAGAGCATTAATGAGATAACTGGTGAAATTTGAATAAATTCTTTCGTGTATTTAAAAGTATCGCACCTATGTTAGCTCCCTATTCTTTTTTGTTGTTTTGTTTTGTGGGTGGCACCACAGACTCAATCCAGGGGTGTTCCACCACTGAGCTACAGTCCCAGCCCTTTTATACTTTGAGGCATGGTCTCACTGAATTGTCCAGGATGCAATTCTCCTGCCTCAACTTCCAGAGTAGCTGGAGTTACAGGTATGTGCCACCACGCTCAGCTTAGTTTCCTACTCTTAATAATTATACAATAGTTATGTAAGACATTCATAGGGAATTTGAGTGAGGAAAGAGCTCTTTATACTATTTCTGTAAGTTTAAAATTTGTTCTACATATAGAATATATACGTAATGGAGTACTACTCAGCCATAACGGAGGATAAATTTGAGTTGTGTGTAGGAAATGGATACACCTTGAGATTATAATGCCAAATAACATAAACCAGACACAGAAAGCTAAATATCACCTAGTCCCTCTTATATGAGAAGCCCAAAGCATAAATAATTTAGAGAGCAAAATAAAATTAGTATATGATATGATCATATAATAGGACAATAGGAAACAGAGAGGCTGGCCTTTCAGAGATGGGAAGAGGATCTAGGGAGAGGGAAAAACGGGGAGCAAAGGAGAACTGAAAAGGACTAAATGCTACCTGTGTAAGCACCAAGTCCCCACAATGTGCGTATTCAATACGTATTGCAAACATGTAGCAATAAAAAGGAAAGAAAAAACCTACTTCACATTTTTTAAAAATGTAGTTTGTATAATTCCTTCAAAATTTAAAATTTCTATTCTAGAAAAAATAAAACAAAGGATAATTTTATACTAAAATGCAACAGAAAAACAAAAATCAATTACTTGATAAGATGTCTTGGAGCAGAAAATTCTCTTGACAATCCCTAATCCAGCTGTTAGCTTTAATAGTTCTTCATAATTATTAGTAAATCCTTTCATTTTTAATATGAAGCCTGGAAAAAACAATTTTGAAGAAAAAATCCAAACTAAATTTCTAAAAAGTCAAAATGTTGAATTATATAACAGAGACTAATAACCCTAAAATGTGAAGAGTGGCTGTACCATGTATAATTATAGATAGGAAAGGAGAAATGCCATTTTTAAGATCAATTTTTAAAAACTGGTAAGAGGTACACTGACTACATTTTTCAGAATCCTAAATTGTTACAGGTATACTTTCCATTTCTGCAATTATTCTAACTTAGAAAGGCAAATATTGTATTTTAAGAATTCTGAGACCACTTTTCTCACAGATGCCTTGAAATACAGTAAAATCAGAACATGGATCATGAAACGTTACCAAACAATGCTTCAAAGTGCTGTCTAGAATACTTTTATGCCACTTATCACTTTAAATTTAATAGAAGCAAAACAAGTATTTGTTTCTATAGCAACATGATAAAATGCTCTGAAAAAAATATATACTACTATCAGTTGTAAATGTATATTGATTTTGATAAGGGAGTCCAAAGTAATTGGTTCCCTATAAAGAAATTTCTAAAATAACTGTAAATGAACTCCTGGGGTTCTTTTTTAATCTCTCTTTTACCCCACCTTGAAAATAATTCTACTGGTGGAAACAATAAATAAAATACTACTTAGAAATATTACCAGGTTAAATGGAGCTATTTTCTTTTTAAAAGGCCTTTGTGTAAGTGGAGCAAAGATGAGCAAAATAAAGTAACAGGAGACACTAGAAATTGCCATACTGTCATTCACTAATCAATTCAATAAAAGATTAATAATAGAGCAACATATCAATTTTCAAACATTCTAGAATTAGTAATAATGATTTTACAACTTTGGGAATATACTAAAACCCACTTGAAAAGTACACTTTAAAAGAGTATACAGTTATGGCATGTGAATTATATACCTCCCGAAAAAGACAACTTCAATGTTTAGTGTAGTATCTTAACTTAATAGTGATCAAAGTTCTTTTTCTATATATACTAAATTCACTTAAAGCTAATATCTAGTTGAAATAGATTATTTATAGAGTCTTGAGAAAAGTTACAAAGTTCATATTAACTTACCAGTCAATTAGAACAGATTTTGGACTCAAATTCATTCATCCTAAAACACTGTAAGAGTGTAAAATGAAATCAAAGATGCTGAGCCCTATAGAAATAATTATCACAATCATATATCTAAATGAACTCCAGAGAAACTTCTAAACCAGAATACAGATTTTCACCTAAAATTTCAATTAGAATATCTATATGAAAATTCAATTATTACAAGTTAAAAGAACACCAATGGACTTCAAACTTACCTGGTTCTGCCAGCTGAGATTTTCGTATTAAAACATCTCGTATTTTCTCCACCCACAGGTAAAGAATACTTTCACCAATATTGTCACTAAACAAAATTCAAGGGAAAAAATTTACTTCAAAAAATTTCCTTCTCAGTTTCAAAAAAATAAGAGACACAGTTACAGTTCAAGACATTATAAAAAAACTAATTATAATTTTCCCCAAAAAATTCATGAAAAGATAAGGTTTAGCAACATTCGTGTCTGAGTATTTAATATAAATAGGTTATATCAACACTAAAAATTCCAATTTCCTCCAAAATTAACAGCATACTTAACTAGAAGAGTTACAACACAGAGGGGAGATTTCTGAACTTGAACTGGATGTACTACATAGATGTAAATGTGATGGTGTTTCTATCAGTGGATAGAACTTCAGTTTGGGGTTTTTTTTGGTGGAGAGGCTGGTTGAAACAGTCTTGCTATGTAGTTCAGGCCGATTTGAATTCACAATGTTGTCAGGCTGGCCTCAAAATCAGGGTAATCCTCCTGACTCAGCCTCCTACGCGTGGGCCCCCACATCCACCTTATTCTCAGTATTGATGTCTATCTTCACTTGATGTTCTAAACTTTTTAAATAATTTAAAACCATCCACTTGGTATACATGTTACTTAGTATACTTATTTCAACTAAAAAAAAAAAATGCAAAACTTGGAGAACTCCTTCAGGGAGTTAATTTGTAAGACCTAAAAGAAAAATCAGTTCAATAACTATCTTTATTTGTATCTTGTTTTTGACAAAATATTCTATTGCCTATTTGATTCTAAATAATGTTTAGCTGCCTCAGATAATTAATTTCAAAAGACTACTAAGAACAAGAATGTGTCATGAGTTTGACAGTCATGTTCACAGTTATGTTAAATAACAGTAAAAGCAATAAAATAAAAGGTCAAGTATCTACTCTTTAGGGAATGACTCTAACTTTAGATGAGTTTTGGTATGTGCTTCAAACATATCACCACACTATTTTGTAGCAACACTTTATCTCCTTCTTATAAAGTTTCCCTTAAAACTATTCTCTTTATCACCACTCATCAGCAAAGGAAACTTTCAAAACACAGAGCGCACACTGTTATCTAACAGTTTGATGCCCTCAAACCCTATCTCATAAATAACTGCTAACACTAAAATCAACCTCTATGCACCCTTTGTAACCTTTCTTTTTCTAAAGAACAGACATCAACGGAAAAGTTTTTTCCAATTGAAAATGTTGCTGAATTTCTCTCTGCCTCTCTCCCTCACCTTTTTTTTTTTTTTTTTTTGTGAACTTCTTTTAAACAATTCTCACTCCTTTCTTCTCACTTAACATAACTGAGAAAATGTAAGGTAAAATGTATTGAGTATGCGCAAGAACTCAAACATACTTTACATATATACCAACACATGGAATGAAAGATCTTAGAGATCAATTACCTTGTTCCAAGAACACCTTATAAGCAGTAAACAGGTAGAACAAGAACCAGGACAAGGTGGTTCAAAGATCAGGTCCATACATTTTACCCTACCAGCAAGTCAGCCGCTTGAACTCTCAGAGTTGGCTTCTGACACACAAGATACAAGGTTTAAAGCAATCTAAATGTTTACAATTCCTGCTTATAAGAAATAATACGTTTTAGGGGCCAGGGATTTAGCTCAGCGGCATAAGCACCTGCCTTGCAAGTACGTGGTCATGAGTACCAAAAAAAAAAAAAAAAAAAAAAAAAAAAAAAAAACACGAAATAACACATTTTAAAACAAGCTTTTAGGTTTGAAAAAAGTGAAAAACTTTAGAGTACTTCTTTTCAAGTGAATCTATCTCAATGTACTCAAAAAATCTTTTAGTAGTCTCCTGTAGATCACCCACTATGAGCTGCCCTGGGGGATGCTGGCCAATGACACACTGGGTTCCTGATCTCAGTGTTTTTAATCACTGTGCTAACAAAATCACAGTTTTATAGATAGCTCTATTTTCTAATTTCATTCTATCACATTCTTCAAATCAACATCATCCTTCCTAATAACCTGCATTTACTAAACCTGTGTTTACTACACATTACACAGATGACATGTAAAATATGCTTTGGGAGTATTACCTCAGTGAATCCTTACAACCACAGAGTAAGACAGGAAAATCATCCCTCAGTAACTTTGTAGTAACACTTTTTTAAAAACAACACACAGAAGAATTTTTACAACTAATAATTAATTTTTCACAATAACGGAAGAAATAAAAAATAAAATAAAAAAAGAAGAAATCACTTCAGGCTTCCTCTCTCCGAGCCCACAGCTCCCTGCACAGATACACACAGCAGCACGTCTGCTCTGCATCAGTGCTGACTACTTCCTTTGCCAGCGTGTAACGAGACTGTTATGAAATTTCAACGTAAAGCAGCAAGAGTGTGCATAAGAGGTTGCCTGGGTGAGATGAAAATCACTTTTCCTTTATGCTTCAAAAGTCTTCCACTAAGCCAGGCGTGGGATACACATCCAGCTACTTGGAAAGCTAATGCAGAAAAAGAAGGTTATCAAGCTTGAGGCCACCCTGGGCAAACTTGCAAGACCATATTAAAATTTAAAAACAGAAAGGGCTGGGAATGCGGCACTCCCTGCTCCAATTCATAGCACCAAAAAGAGGAGAAGTTTGGTTTTGTTTTTTTTTTAGTTTAGTATTATTGTTACTACTGTATATGTTTTCTCTTTCTATTTTTTAACTGTCTAATAGTTTGGAGTGATTATTACCAAAACAACTAGTTTTTAAATTCTGGTCACCTTAATGAAATCTCTTATAGCAACAATCCCCAATTAAATTGACATTAGTTAAAATCTGGCCTTGTGAATCTCTGTTCACCTTCAATTGGCCTTGGAGGAAGTTTGCCAAATACTAAAAACTCTGGTACAAAATTTAAGTACTACTCATTATAGACTGAGATGCTAGATTTTCATCTATAAATTCAAATTATGGTAAAAGAACTAAATAAAACAGTATGAAACAAAATCTGTTTCAACTTGAGTATTTTATTTGATCTAGTTTGTGAGTAACTTAATTAGTAATCCAATGTAGAATAAGCAAAATAAAGTCAAGCTACTTCTGATCCTGTTTCTTCCTATGGCTCTAATATTTGTAGCTTTCATTTTCCAATATTCATATTTGTTGACTTAACAATAAAACTATTCAGGATAATGTTGTAAGCTATATAACGTCAACTAATCACTTGATCCCAATTTCAGGTCTCACATTTTCAAAAGGATGAAATTGAATAATATGCTCCCCACAGTCCTAACAACAAAAATGGCTAACTGCTTGCTATAATTTGGATATTGAATGACTGCCTCCCCACTCAAAAAAGAAAAAGAAAAGCCCCATCTGTTAAGGCTTGGGCCCCAGATAGTATTATTACGTGGTGGCAGAACCTTGTAGAGATGAGGGCTAGTTAGTGGGAGGTCTTCGGGTCACTGGGGCTGTGCCCAGAGAGGTGTGCTGTGGGCCCCAGGCCCTTCCTCCTTCTCCTTACACCCTGGCTCAGGATGTGATTTTGCTCTGCCATATGCTCCTGCCATGACGAGCTGTGTCTGAGAAATGGGGCCAACTCATCACACTAGAATTTCCAAAACTATGAGACTTGAGCTCTCAAATTTGCTACAGTAACAGAGCACTAACATTAATTCACTAAACTCTCAAGACATCAACTGCTTTATCCACATGATGCTGCTCACACAGGTCTCTCTACCAGAAAAATCCGTCAGTGATTACCTGGTAAACTCTATGCACTAAGTTACCTTCATAGTGGAATCCACCCTGACAGTCTTATTCACATGTTCAGAGATAGTGTGCTGCTAAAACTTCAAAAAAAAAAAAAAAGAAAAGAAAAGAAAAGAAAAAGCAACTATAACACCTAGACAAAACTTCTCAGTAAACATCTCACTGTGTTGGTACACACTCATCTTAATTTGTGTGTGTGCCTGTGTGATGTTGGGGATCAAACCCAGGGCCTCACTCATGCCAAGCAAGTGCTCTTACTAATGGGCTACATGCCCAGCCCTTTCATTTTAGTTGGTAAATCTGAAATTCCTAATGAAGTGTTAGTACATAGGAGATGCTCAATAAAATGTGTATGTAAAAAAACTATTTTCTTTCTTACCTTCCTACATAAGTCGCAACAACAGATTATTTTCTTATCTAGGCAAAAATAAAACCTAGCACTCAAAATGATGCCAAAATGTATAGTGCTACACTATTTAGAATCGTAAAAACTATAAACATTAACTATATTCACACATTTGTATGTTTAATTTTTAAAGTTCAATAATTTTTACTACTGCCTCCTGCTGGAAGTACATGGAAACAGTAATTAAAATTTGTTACAAAAACCTATTAAAGATACACCAAACAACACATATTTCTATTTAGATCACGTGTTTAAAAATAATACCATCAGACTGGGGTTAGTCAAGCACTTTTAAGAAGCACACAATATAACTCATATTTCATCTTTAGAACTGCTTTGTAATTTTTGAACCTTTGCAAAATTGAACTAGTTAAAGAAGACAGGCAAGTTGTATACCAAGGGATGCTATCTCTCAGCAAAAAGGAGAACTCTGGGAACAGGAAATAGGTACCGGGGTAGCCAACGCAGAGTGTGTAACATTGTGCATGAGCAGGAAAAAAATCTAACTGATGAATGTGAATAACATGATGGAAGTTACGTGTGGAAAGCTTCTCCAAAACAAAAGAAAGAAAGAAGAGGTCAATATCAGCAAGTTACAGAGGTCATTTAAGATACTAGCTTAAATATGACCTTCAGATGTATAATTAAGATGTCAGGGTGAACAAATTTGTAGTACTATGCTCTTATTCTACTTTAAAGGAAGAAAAGTTGACAAATAATAATTAGATTACACAAACAAGTGTGTTAGGAGCACAAAAGTAGTAGTGGCTAGTGAACAGACATAAAAAAAAACCATTTAAATGATGAAATTTGCTTACCTTCTGAGGGTAAACAAAATCACTAAAAAGGGACCCAAGAAAGACCATACTTCCCTTAAGAAGGAACAAGTACAATGGATTCCACAACAATGTACCATTTTCTAATTAAATATTTTGGGAGGAAAAGAAACCTGGCCTGGATCCCAAGGACACAAAAGGGGTATCTACTCTCATGGTACAAATGGGATGGCCACCTAGAACATAATACTCCTTAGGAGTTCCTAGTTTAGAAAAAAAAAAAAACAGGTACTTGAGGAGATTATTTGTTTTAACAAATTAACATATCTTATTAAAATCAATCCAAATCAACCATATTGTCTCTGGACTAACGTATTAGCCTCCTAACTGATTTCTCATATCTATTCTTGCTCCTTTCCAATCAGTCTCCACAGAGAAACAGAAACGTCTTTCAAAATGACAACCTTATCATGGGCACTCTACTATTTAAAATTCTGCTTCCAATTTTCTTAGGATAAACATGCAAACCCTTAATCTAGTCTACAAACTCTATAGGACTTTCCCTGCCTATCCGTCCCAGTCACTCTCACTGTGTTCTCTCCCTCCCACTGATTCTCATCGTCACTGTTCTGTACAAAGAGCTTTCACACATGCTGTGGCCTCACTGGAGCTGGCTTCACCCAATTAACTCAGCCCCCAGTCAAACAAGCTGCCTGCCCCCTGACCTCCTGGAAGTCTTGTTTCAAATTCGATTAGCCCACTACCACATATCTTTCTTCTGTAGAACCTATCACAGCTGCAGTTTTATATTCATTTTAACTATGTTAACAGAAATAGCTCCTCTCCTATCAATTCTCAATGACATGAAAATTAAGAGATTACTTCTGGTTTTGGTAACTATGTGTACTGAGGATCTAATTTAGTGCTTGCCATGTAGCAATGGCTGAATGAATGAAAGGAAGGGAGGAAAAAAATATGTCAACTCTTAAGTCCTAAATGAGAAATTCGGGTTAATTAAAATTAACTAATTAAATTTACTTAGAACTAATTAAATAAGTTTAATAAATACTGGTTAGAATTCTGCTGCCATCAATTTCAGTCTATGTATTTTATGAAAATATACCAACGAGAGAAATCTTCTAATTTCTTTCGTGAGCCAGCTATGTGTTTTTATATCTATTTGCTTTAAATATTACTGTATTTTTGTATCTAAATAGATAGTCATATCAAACATACACACAAAATTATTTCCAGGTGTCAACTCAATCTCTGTTCATAGAAAAGCAGTTTCACAAAAATTTAGAAAAGGTACTAACATATCACATATTTAACAAATGCCCAAACAGAATCAATAATAGATAGCTTTAATCTCTGTCACTTACATATATATTTCCTCAAGGCTGTTGGATATATTCACACGTTCTTGCCCTCTAAGCCAAGGAGCACTGAGATTGAATAAAACACAATAAAGATCATCCAGGGTTGTATGTATGACTGAAACATAATTTACTGATGAACCCATAAAGTAGCTTTCCTTAATTTTGTTTGGTTTTTGACAAGGTCTCACTGTGTAGCGTGGGCTGGCCTTGAACTCTCCAGAGATCCTCTGCCTCAGTCTCCTGAGTGCTGGGATTACAGGTTATGTATGTGTCACCAAACCTTTTATTTCACTCTTTGAAAGTAATTTCATTAAAATGTTGTCTTGTGCTTGTACAAACCTATACAGTTCCAATATACTTTCTCTAACATTAATTTAATCCTTTCCCCAAAAATGACAAAACCAACATCAATATTATTCAGTTTTAATGTTTTAAAAAATATAAGTGATTCCATAGGTATCATAAACCTACCCAAGTTTACATGAAAGAACAGGTTATGGAATCTATGTTTTCAGGTTTACAATATTTGCCACAATATCAGCATTTCCCAGTGTTTTTCGAACATAGATCTTGGAAACAATTCTAACAAGTAAGCTGGCTGCCACGATTATAAAGCAAAAATAAATAAAATATATTAGGATATTTTTGCTTACAAACATGTCATGTTTATTATTTGCAATAAATAAAAATAAAAATTCACTGAACCATTTTTATTAGCAATTTTTTTTAAATACTTTTTTTTTTCTTTTGTCTTTTTTGAGACAGGGTCTGGTTATGCAGTTCAGGCTGGCCTTGAGCTCACCAGGCTCGAACTGGAAAGGATCCTCCCACCTCAGCCTCCTGAGTGGTGGGATTATAGGCGTGAACCACCATGCCTGGCTCTCTGCAGTACCAGGAATTGAACTCAGGACCTCGGGCTTGCCAGGCAGGTGCTTATGCCGCTGAGCTAAATCCCTTGCCCCTTTATTAGCAATTTTTATGGTTATGGTTTTTTTTTTTTTTTTTGTCTTTTTCCTTTTTATCGGTACCAGGGATCGAACTCACGACTGCCTGCTTGCAAGGCAGGCGCTTATGCAGCTGAGCTAAACCCCCAGCCCCATGGTTATGGTTTTTGAATGCTCCCTCAAAAACAATACTGCTCGTAGATAAAATGTTCAGTAAGATTTTTTATGGAAATTTGTTCACACAGTTCACACACAACTTGGATCACATGTCACTTGCATCATCAGGTCATGATTCATGAAGAGGAAGCTTGGACTTCTAAGGAAATGATTCGTCAGTAACAAGGGAGAAGGGGGAAGGACAACACCCAGCAGCACCGAGGGCACTTCCTGGAAGGTACACAGCCTGAACAGGAAGTTCACTAAAGAACTGTGGTTAGGTCTTCAGGCCCAGGTCGGGAAAAACTCAAAGGGGCGGGGCTTGCAAATCACTGGGCTGAAAAAAGAGGCAGGTTTTCTTCCCCATCTCCAAAGATGATATATAGCTATCTTATCCCTATGAATTCCATCATCTTCTTTATTCAGTAGCACAATTTAAAGTGTTTTCATAGCATTTATTTAAAAGCTTTACACCAAGTTGAAAAGGTATTTTTAATTTCTATACATCTTAAGAAAAAGTATTTTATATAAGCACAATGCACAATACAGAGAAATACCTTTGAAAATACAAACATTTTATAAAAATATTAATATAGAGAAACAGCTTACTTCAACTGATAAATAGGTGGAGCTGTAGCTGGGTATTCATTCGGCAGCATCACCTACAATGCAGTTTAAAAACAAATCTGTTTACACTTCATCATGGTTCAAAAATCACTACATTTATAAAGCTAATCATTCAACAAATTTCTAGCTTGCCAAACTCGAAAACCATTGTTCTGTTAGATCTTAAGAGAGAATCACTTCCTTGTATTTATGCTTCTAAACCAGATATGTTGTTAGTGACACTGCCAGTATTTTAAAGGAAAGCTAATTATTTGCAGATAAAGTATAAAAGCAATGAAAATTAGAATAAGGGTAAAAAGACCAGAGCTGAAAGGAAAAAGAAAACCGAACCAGGGATATTATGCCCTAACTCCAAATGGACAGTGACATTACAACATCATCCAGATGTCTTAAAAAAATACTAAAAAATACTGTGAACTATTATTAAATATAAAGATACCATGTAATAATGAATGATACATATTTCTTCTCAAATCAAGATTAAAAAACACCAAAAAATTCAACCTACTGTTATTTATGTTGAAAGTACAGGCAGTCATCGAAAAATAAGCACTAATGAAGAAGAGGGGAAGGGAAAATAAGTAGAAGAAAGATATGCCATGTACAGGAACCTAACCTCAATGAATATAGACATGACGTGCCATAACATGAACTAAGATTAAATAGTATCAACGAGAATGAAAATCAGGAGAGGAGAGTTAGAGGAGAAGGCAGGGATGGGGAGAGAAGGAGCAGGGGATTTAAAAAATAAGCTGTAAGGTACAGCTTAGCCCCATGATGACTGCAAACTGCATGTACTACAAACATGTGTTAATAAATGTTTTTTTCTTTTGTCTTTTTGAAACAAGGTTTGACTATGTAGGAGTGTCTGGCCTCAAACTCTGAGTGATCCTCCTGCCTTAGCCTCCCAAGTGCTGGGATTACAGGCATGTGCCATCATGCCCAGCCCTTCTAATAACATAGAAAAAATGAGCACTGAGGCAGAGAGCCACATTTATTTTATCCCAGCTACAACTGTTCTGAATAAAGGAATGAGAATCTACTCTATAAATCATCCATATTGTTAACCTACAGTTCCTCATAAATATTAACCATCTTTCCATTTCGGCCTTTTCCTGTTAGTTGGATGGAAAAAGGAAAGGAAGTTCAACTTCAGTCTATCAATGTTATATTAAGACTTTTAAGAATTAAAAGAACAGGACAAGAAATACTGAAGCCATCAATGAAAGCATGATTTCAGTGTTAGAATATTCTAACACAACAGAGAAGCACAAGTACAAAATGAACAGGTTTATTGACTTGAGGACCTGGAAAGGAGCACACAACCCATGGCGGCTGGGCTGTCTCCTTCAACCAGATACAGAGAGGGTTATATGACCTCTGATCGGAAGTGGTGCATGGGACAGCTACCGATGACATTTGAAGAACCTATTGGAATTCTCTGTGTGTTTAAAAAGGAAGAGCAGTTGCAATTAGGGCTGAAAAAGCAGCAGAAAGTGACAAGGGTTTTCCTCTTGGCCTTCTACCAGTTAACCACCGCCATAATTGTACAGTAATTTATACTAAGGCAAAAATCATTCATTCAGAGTGATCAAAGATTTAACCACTCATATTTAAATAATGAATTATGACAAAAGCCAAAAGCAAATTTAGAAAATACCGTAACACATGTAAAAATCATCATGAGAATAGTGGTCAGTCATATAGTCAACACTGTAATTTGAAAATGGCTGTAGAGAAACAGAAAAAAAAATTACCTGCAAGCAAATTGTCCACTTGGGATGATCTTTATCGTCACCAATTCTAATACAAAATACTCTGGCATGGTCATCCACGACACACCATTCTTCGCCATAAATGGCTGACAGTGCTTCAATTTCCTCATTCTGAAAAGTGATTTTAAAAAGTCAAGCAATGCACATATCCTAAAAACCTATTCTCACTACTTTATATGGTATTAGCATTCAACACCCCTATCCTGGATGAAGGATTCCACGATAAACCTGGAAAGGTCAAATGTTCATAGCTGTAGGTCACCACCACGTTCTACTTCCTGAGTGGTTTCCTGACACCCCTGCCACGCCTGGGACCAGCCTTAGCAGTGCATTACTGTGGCCTCTGTTCCACCAAAATGCATGAGCACTTCCGCGTCCTATGGTGAGGTTCGCCCGATAAACACATCTTCTCTGATAATCCTCTGGCCCTATGCACACCTCTAACAGCCTTGCTACCGTTCTGGTATTTCTGCTGAATATCTCACTCTTTACTTCCGCTCCTGATTTTTTTTTTTTTTTTAATTTGGGCCCAGAGTCAGTAGATTTTCTTGTCTCTTTTGGTCATCAAACTTCAAAACAGTTCAGAAATTATTGGCTTGGTTGGAGATTAAAAAGGGAAAAGAACTTGCACCAAACAATGAAAAATTTACAGGAAAGTATAGATTGCATTCAACTCAAGCTGTCCTCGTGGCCGCGAAGGGCCAGCTGTAGGAGTGCCCACGTGAACAGGAGGGAGCAGGCTCAAAAGAGCGAAGAATGTGAATTTGGAGGGATGCACAGAGAACCTGGGGTCTGTGTTTTTTTTTTTTTTTTTTTTTTTGCAAAGGTGAACGGAGTTCTTAAAGCCTAGTCCAAGGTGACTCGGCCGCTGCAGGGCCGGGGACGGAACCCGAGTTTCAGCCTCCTGCCGGGGGCACCCCAGTAGTGTGTGCATGACTGACGAGGACACCCAGGAGCAACTGGAGCGCGCCGGGAACACAGACCGCAGCGCGAGTACAGACGCGGCCGGGCTGCCGGGCTGATGCAAACGGGCCAGCCCCTGGCGGAGGAGGCTCGGGACCTTGAGGCGAGGCCGAGCTGAGTCTGGAGGGTCGGTGCCCCGCCCGGGCCTCACCTGCCTCTGGTCGTTCCCTGCGTTTCCCTCAGCCATGTAGCTCGGGAGCCGATTTACGGCCACCCGCTGGCCAAGTCCGGAAAGCGAGGGCAGGCAGCTTCAGAGGCCAGCTGCAGAGCGGCTGACCCGGAACTGCAACCCGGAAGCCCCCTCCCGCATCTGCTTCCGGGTTGCGGGGTCGGCTGGGCGTCTGCCCTGAGGATCTGCAGGAGGCCTTCTCGCCCCAGGCTCCTGGGGAATTGCCCGGGGCTGGAGGTGTCCGCTCCACTCTGAAGCTGGCAAGGTGGGGACCCCCAGGAGGCTTGGGGACTCCGGATCAGCACCACGGCCCAGTAGGGGACCCGACTTGCAGTCCACAGCCTCGGACTCGGCTCTACATTTCAAGGCAGGGTTTTTGTTTTAACAAATTTTAAGTTTCCTGATTTGGGCAAAGAATATTTTTTTTTAAATCAAAAACAGGAGAGGGGAGGCAGTTTCGATAACGCAAGGGAAAACCATATTTTCTCACTGTTGGGTTACGGTAGCGTTCTCTAACGTTCTTGTGATACGGAAAAATGTAACCTATTAAGTGCCACATGTTCAGAGTTCCAAGTCTGGACCCAAAAGAGAAAGGAGCGTTTCATTGGAAATAAGAAGAAAAAGAACAGCACCGAGGCCGGTCGTCAGGGGTGATTTATACAGCAAAATCACAACATGGGTCAAACTACAGTCAGCATGTAGGATTACAAGTGCAAGCGATTAGCTAACACAGATTCAGTAGGGAAACAAGTATAGGAAGAGGTATACGCAAAGAACAAAGGCATTTTTGGAAAGGGAGAAGATGTTCCGGTCACCTGCCGTGTGTTGATGCCTGTCTGGGCTCACTGGACCAACTGGTGCTGATTACCCTGTCCGCTCAAGTCGTTGTTATGGCTAGAGACATGCAGAGCTGGCTGTTCAGATTTACCTCCAGCCACAATCTTTGTGTCTGATTTTCTATGCTGACTCCATTCCCACTCAGCGTTTTAATTTTTATCTAATTTAGGTGCCCATAATACGTGAACATTTTTCCTGACAACAGTTATACCAGTCAGCATATGGATCATTGTTTTATTGCTAAAAACAAAAACTGAGTTAATGTCATTTCTTCCCCATTGCAAAACCCACATTAGGTGTCACATTCCAACATACTGGTTATGAATTATATCAGTCACCTAATTAAAGGTACCTCAATTGAGACATTCATTCTGATACTTGGCAAACATGTAATCCACCTCTTTCTTTTCTTATATAAATACATGCACAAAAACAGACAACCTAAAAATACCACATATTACCTTTCTACCCTCTTTAAATCATGAGCATTTTTTCTGGCCACCTTTAAACTTTTCTCAGATTAAGGGTACACTGAAAATATTAATTCAACAGACATTTGTGAGGCTCTTATTGTACCAAACTTTGGACATACAGAACCAAATGTTATAAACTGCCCTTAAAAAGCTGAGATACAGGGAAACACAAGTAAATCAACTATTACAACAGACTGGAAGTGTATCCTATTGCGTTAGTGATACGTAGAAGAGACAAAAGCCTTCTGCAGTACTGTGCTTTTACGTGCCTGTTGTTTGTGTCTAGATGTCACTCCAACGCCTCATGCAGTCATAGGTGGAGCTTTTCAAAAGTGGCTGGAGCTACAATGTGTGAAGCTTGGATTGATTCATGGTGCAGTGTTAGGATTAAGGGTGTGAGTGCTGCCTGCCATAAAGGACATAAAGCAGCATGTCACTTTTTGCTGCTTGCTTGCTTACTTTTGCTATCTTTTGCCTGCCATGAACTGTTTCTCTTTTGTGATGCCCCTCTGTCATGCCATCCTGCCTTGGAGCCAACAACTAGGAGCTTGATCTACAAACTGTGAGTCAAAGTAAACCTTTCCTCCTTTAACTTTGGGTGTCAGGTATTTTGTCTCAGTAACAAGAAAAAAGTAACAGACACTTTTTTCTTTTCTTCATTCCGAAGTCTTTCTTCATCAGTCTCATCATCTATCTTACAGCTTCTGTATGCACTTTAAAGGCCATGGAGTCCTTCAGTGAAAGCTTATTTAACACAAATTAGAATGCAGTGTTGAAACCACAGTAGTAGAACAGAGGAGTAGCAATATTTAGTTACCCCTCCTCCCTTCCAGTGGCCCCTCTACTGAATATCGAAGTTTGAAAATTACAGTATCAGGGAGTAATGATGTGGCTCAATGATAGAGCACTTGGCTAGCATACAAGAGGCCTGGATTTCATTCCCATTATTGCAAAAAAACAAATGAAAAGACATTAAAAGTTAGCTTTCTAAGAATAGCACAATATATCCAGTTTATTATATATAGTACTGCACTTCTTTAACCCAAGCAACACAGTCTGTTTTACCTTCTGCAGATTATACCCATGGTTCTCTATTAAGTACTACTTACTCATAACTTTAATTCATTTTTTGAAATCTGATTCTAGGCTTTGTTTGTTTGGGTACTAGGAATTGAACTCAGGACCTCGTGCTTGCCAAGCAAGCACTGTGCCACTGAGCTATATCCCTGGTCCTGAACTCCAATTCTAAATAGAATTGACTCATTGTACCAAAGGGAACAGGGAAAAGAAGAAAAAAGAAAAAGAAAAATTTCCCCTATTTTTCTGTCTTGCTTAAACATGTGACCAAAATACAAAACCTTAAATAAAGGCCTAAACGTGGATATCTATATATCCAAAAATACCCAAATATCCAGAGCACTGTGGAAAGAGAAAGAGAGAAGTAAATACTGAAGTTACAAATGCAGTAGGCAAGATATATTTTGAAGAATGTATTTCAAGAAAACAAGACAGCTGGGCATAGTGGTGTAATGGAGTACATTTATAATCCCAGCACTGAGGCTGCTGAGGCAAGAGGATCACTGCAAGTTCTAGGCCAGCATAGTAAATTCAGGACTAGCCTGAACTACACAGTGAGACTTTGTCTCAAAAAAAACAAACAACAACAAAAAAAAGTGTATGGGCAGTTCAGCTGAAAAAATGTGTGAACTTGGAGCAGTCACCTAAGCAGAGATTGGGGATGCTCTTCAAATAGACCCAAACAGAAGAGAAGTCACTAAGCCAGATTCCGCTGAGTTATATATTTATTTACTAGAATGATTACTGGATGTCTCCCTTAAACTCAGTATGCTCAAAACTGAGTTCAATAGCTTTAAAAAACAAAAACAAAAAACCCCCCTTATTCCTCCTGACAACCCTCAAACTCCTGCTTCAATAATTGCTCAGATTTTAAATTTGGGAGACATATTATGTGTGTACTCTCTCTTCTTCCTTACCTCCATATCCATGTAGCAAGTTTTGATGGTTGTGATTCCTTAATATTACCTGTCCTCCTTTCTAAGTCTCTCTGGTTCCAACTGAACCATCTTCAAGTTATCTTGCTCCTTCTGCCAGAGTAATAAAAAAATGTACAAATCTGCTCGTGTCTTTCTTTGGCTTTTCTGAAACAAGGTCTCGCTGTGTAGTTCAATTCAGGCTGACCTTGAACTCACTATGTAACCCAGGATGGCCTCAATTCTCCTGCCTCAGCCTCCCAAATCCTGGGATTACAGGCATGTACTACTACGCTTGACCTGACGATCTCTTTCTGTCTTTGAAACCCTTCATTCATCCCCAGCTAGCTTTCATGATAACACTGCAACACCCTAGCAAAGCATTGTATGACTTCAGAAAAATAAAATTACTGTAATGTTATACAATAGACCCTGTGTAAGGAATATCTGAGCCGAAATGTGCAGAAAAGTCTATAACCAGAGTGAAGGAAGAGAGCAGATCTGTTTAACTGGATGGTAACTGCACAAGTCCTCAAGTGATCTGGGGAAGATGCCCATAGCCAGATCCCTTAGGATGCCCACCTAGAAGAAATATAGTGACTGGCTGAACAAGGCCATTTATGTAGGATAGACTTTGGAGCCCACTATTGTTGGAACAAGGTGCTTGAAACTTTCAGATTGAAAAACAATCTGTTCAAACAAAGGGTCAGATTTGTAACTATATAGTAGCCCTCTGAGCCTCTTTAGGCTCCTTCCCAATTTTCTCTCCAGGTACTTCCTCTTAATAATTTCTTGCACACTGAACTTCATCTTGATGTCTTCCTCCCAGGACCAGGCTAACAGCTTAGATGGTCCCAGTGCCTTGGATTCCTATGTAAGCAAACTGAAACCCAATTTAAACATAAGCTTGTCTAATCAGAAATCACCAAGGACTTCATACTGTATAAGGCCTTGGTGGCTTCTGTATGTGCAGACTAATAATCAGAAACTGTCAACTAACCTCTAACTGGAGATTTTCCACTTGAAAAAAAAAACAAGTGTTTTCTGTCTTCTTTCCACAGACATCTCATAAAAGTTCCCCCTTGTTATGGTTTGTATGGAAAATAACGCCCCCTGTGTTTGGAAGATCATTGGATTATGAGAGGCACTGTAGCTGACTTGCTGTTAGGCAATGGGGGCTGGCCGGAGAGGAAAGTCATTGATGAGTAGGAATGGTGTAGTGGGGTGAGTGGGAAGGGTGTAGCTCCCCAAGGCCTCCTCTGACTTGGCTTCCTGAATCGCATCAAGTGAGCAGCTTTTCTCTGCCCAAGCCTTCCACCATGCCTTCCTGCCTCAAGCCTGGCAACCATGAACTAAAAACATGAGCCAAAACAAATGTCTTCTGCTTTAAATGGTAAGTATATTGAGTCCCAGTGCTGAGAAGGTGACTAAGCAAACCCTTCTGCCCCCTTGGCAGAGTACTGAACTATCTGTGGTCTAGTGATGCCCAATGTATGAATAGCCAGCTGCTGAAATAAAATCATCTAGATACACTGTTGGTGATGAACTGTTTGCTGTGTCCTCTATTTCTGTGTTTTTCTTAGCACCTGATGATGAAACCAAACATACTAGACTCCACCCAGTGAATGTAGAGGCTATTGCTTCTCTCGTGCCATTTATCTGTACGGGGCCAACAGGTAAATCCAGCATGGCCAAGACAAATGATAAATGTACAAGGATTAAAATGTCATATATTAAATTTATACAAAAACCTTTATCAAGGAAGTAGTCAATACTAGCAAGCAATTGGTGAAGGAAGACTATTTTCATATTATAATGCCACCAT